CAGTCTGTCGGCTGGGATGTGTCTCTCCGAGTATCTGGGATCAATCTGTCTGGTTTGCTGGTCTTATCGGATCGGAAATGGATATTGAATCCGAACTTCCCACTTTTTAAATAAATTAAGATTTCACTTTCAGTGTCGGTTATACTAAAGACGCTAAGCTTATGCCACACCATAGCATATAGCCAATAAAATAATTATAAACAAACAAACAACAACAACAAACAAATAAACATGTTCTTAACGATCAAGAGATACAAAGAAAGTCTTATTATTATTATATTATATCGAGCATTCCTCCTCCCGTTTCTTTCTCTGCCAATTGAGCAAAGCCTCGACACGGACCCACCTTCCATCTGGCCCCAAAGAAGTACATAAAATTATTGGAGGTCACTGGGTGGTCACTACACTTCTTCATGGCAGACGACATGTGCTATGTGACAATGACGATCTTTATTCTTATCGCAGGGAGAATTTTGTCCTGCTCGTTAACAAAGGCTGTGGATGTTACAAAGGTTAGATGTACTGGTATACTCACGCATACGCACAAGACAGGACGTTAGTGAGTGAATGCATGCCTCACGTGCTGAAACAACCCGTTCCGTTACCCCCCTCTCTCTCTCTCTCTCTCTCTCTCTCTCTCTCCCTCTCTCTGTGTGTGTGTGTGTGCGTGTGTGTGTGTGTGTATTTCAATTGTAGCACTGTCACCTGTGTGTTCATCAGTAACTCCACTGCACTTGGTACGAATGTATTTTTTGTGTCCGTTGGTGTGTCTTGTTAAAATTATGCAATAAAATGTAGGCCGCACCCGATAGTACGTGATGGTATATATGAGTAGTAGTGAGAGCGGTGTCTATGGTTAGAGTAAGCTAGAGCAGACCTACCATTTAGGCACTTCGCCGTCCCACACCGAAGGCCTGAGTTCGAGTTCGATTGTCGTGTCCGTCTGGATTTGTTTGTTTGTTGTTGTTGGTTGGTTGTTGTTGTTGTTGTTGTTTTGGGGGGGGCGGGCTCATTCGAATCGCCGCCTAAAACTTTGTGCGTAATACGGGGTGCCCATTGAGAATGGGATCGGGTCGGGGCCGGTGCAATCGCCCAACTCGTCGCCTGAAAACTAAAAAGAAACACGTTTGTTTTTGAGTCGGGCCCGATTGGCTTGTGCCACGCAAGCTGCTTTGCACCCTCAATCTGGCTAGCAGCCCGCCCCGACAAGACCCAATCCCCAATGGGTACCTCGCTTCAGATAGACCTGGTCCGACCCCCAACAAACTGGCTTCTGTGGGTGGTTGGCGGGTGCTCTGGTGTGGTTTGCTCCTTCTCTTTTATCAAACATCTGTCGTCCTTATCTCTCCTCCTCTGTTTTGTGTACGGTACGTTACTCTCTTGCAACACATAATCTATTCTTCGACATTTATATGACCTTATTGTGTTGCAAGTGCCGTAAAACTCTCACTAAGTAAAACTAAGACTGGGTTCTTGAAGGTATTTTCCTACCGGTAGGCCTATGCCCCCCCCCCCCTTCTCCCCTGATCTGGCTCGGCTATCCCTCTTGTTGGTCTCGTCATAGATGCTGAAAGGGGCGTCAAAGCCATAGCCCTAGCATTCATGATCCATACAGAATATGCAGTACAGCTTTTTGGCACAAGGGCTCGTCGTTTCTTGCTTCATGCAATCGATCGAGTGGGCCCGGCCGTCAAGTAGTGCAATCATCGAGGGGCCTTTGTCCCAGTCAATGAGGTCTAATTACGGGGCTGGCCTCGGCCGCTCTGCTGGGACTCCAGGTGGGAATGTCTTCTTAGTCAGCCCTGTACAGCGGAGTGAGAGGGAGGGAGGGAA